TCCAACTTGAACGCCGTTCTTGTACCAGCCTGATCCTGAGCCATCGTATGCCGTGATGGTCTCCGCTTCAGCAGCAGAATTGTAGCCCGTCTCCGGGAATGCACAGCCCCACACATCATCGTGGACGAGGACGCACTCAGCATCTACGGGAGCAACGCACACAGCACCATTGTAGGACAGTAGATACGGCTGGCAGTCGGCAACGGCGACGTCACCAGCATGGGGGCAGGCGGTTCCCACAGGCTCGGCTCCGACACCAGAGCAAGACAAACCGTGAGACTCCGGAATCGAGTAGGTGGCGTCGTGTTGCACACCAATCGGGACGTCGGCGGACGCAAGACCAGTCGCAAGGATGCTGGCTAAAGCCACAACTGTGGCTGGTTTTCTCGACGCCATTGTCTAATCACTGGAAAAACCGGTGTTGGTGTTGATGTTGTTGCCAACGAGGAAATTGAGAAATGAGCTTTTGAACGGTATGAGTAGCGAAAGGGGATACGAGGAGAGCGGAAGGGGACACGAGGAGAGCAACAGGGTGGGGGGCTTAGGTGCTAAGTTATATCAGCTCGAGACGCAATGTATTCGATTTTGATGAAAACCACGGGCAGCCGTCACCAGAAGGCCTTTCCTGTAACCGATGAGAACGGCAGCGCACCTGGCGACTTGGCGAAGTGCAAGCCTGTCAGGTCTTATATGAAACCGCTGTGAATTCGCTTACGTCTCTAACGAGAGCGGTGGCTGATACAATGCCTTTCTTCGGTCACTGACTTTAGACATCTAGCCTCGGCGACGTGCATCGAAAAGCGACGAGCTAATTGTTCCTTGTCTATTACCCGGGAAAAGATGAACGTCGATAGTGTTTGTCTTCGGTACGAATAGGAGTGAACCGCAGTGCATTTAATCGGGGATTTGGTCATAACGTCTGCTGTCACGGAGTAAAACTCTTTATTCCAGTCAACATGTGAGCGCTGGATGGCTACACGCCGTGTCGGCCCAGAACGATTCTGGCGACCTGACATTTAAGCTTATGCACAGCAGTGTCCGAAAAAAATAACTTCCAAGAGTGGCACCCTCTTCATACTCACTTAACACCTGGAGTCCAGATTCTGGACAGAAAGATACACTACATGTATTTATAATTGAGCGTGTTCACCAGCACCATGCATGAGATTTTGTAATCTACCGCGAGTAAGGTTGCACTCGTTACTCCGACACTCTCACCGTTCGAGGAAGCTACACCCCCGAGACGTGGCAGACGAGTTTGAATGCCCTACAATTGTAGTCTCGCATCATCCCCAACGTAAGTTCGTGCAGATGACTGAAAATGACACGTTTAGAGCATCACGTGGTCTCAAAATTGTCCGAAAGTGCACTGGTATCCCGATACTGGAATTATGTGGTAACGGCAGACTTCCCACTGACAGATTTTTAAGATCTTGCATGCATCGCGGCTTATTTACAACCTCGAAGTAGCTCAGAAGGGTTAATGATAACGTATTTGCCAGAGGACACATTTTATGGGTGGATCCGGCGAAGTTGTGTAGGATTCACTCCACTTTTCCTACAATATCCTACAAAGTCGTGTGTCACACGGAGAAGCTCTAAATTTACAACTGTGTGCAGGGCAGTTGCTTCAACTTTGGTTTTACAGTGATGTGCGTTAGTAAGGAGCCTCTGACATCACGGTTTTAGAGAATAGAGGCAGAAAAAGGTTCTTATTAATTTGTTCTGTACAAATTGTACTTCACATGCGTTCCTTATCGACGCACATTACTGTATACAATTACTTGCAGTCGTGTATCCCGTTCGATGCTTTATTCTAGCAGAATATACGAGATCATACTGTGCTAAGTCGCACTGGTAGCTCATCTGTCTGTTCGGCAACATTCACACGGATTAAATTACTTCGACTAGTCGTAATTTACAGTGATGTTACGCTTGGCTGGGTGGCATCAGTATAGATAGATACGATTCATACAGCTTAAGAAACTAAGGTGATAAAAACATTTTTTATCAGGGTTTTTCATGTTGAGACAATAAGAAGATGCCGCATCGGTACAAAGGATATCAGGCATACATCACTAAACTTCTTGAATAAAGTCGACATAATCTAGGTCTTCTGCATTGTTTAACATGAGGACGATCACACAGACCGCATGACAAAGAAGAGTTGAGGCCGATCCTGCTCGAATACGCCCCTTTTGATTTCCATTGTACGCCAGAACTCAAACCAGCGTTTTCAGCTAAAGGCTGAAAAAAAAAATAACTTTTCTTCAGCACTTGATACACCTATTATATTTGATCTACACTGGATCGTACCCAATAAAACGGGGTTTCTCCTCTGAGCCTGCATAACGCGTCATTTCAGCTGGTATCAGAAGCAACAACTTAGCTTTCGTTTGAGCAATTTTAATAAGCTTTTGCAACTTCTCCTGATTTATTCCTTTCGGTTGTCTCGGCTACTTCAGATAATATCTTATACACAGTGCGTTTTCAATGACACAAGTGATCTACAGCACTGCGGGATAAAACTTCAATACACAAAATACTTCAATCAATATTTCAAAAATATTGTAATAAGGAGGAAA